ATTACCACTTAATGCCTATGCAGTATTCCAGTGTGCAATTCAATAAATATATCAGAATTCATCTGATACACTTCCCATTATACAATATTTGGTTGCTTACAGTTTTTCCCCATTGTTTGCAACATGTTTCTGTTCCCTCACCTGATTGTTTCCTCTGGTGAAATTGGTGAGGTGGAATTGCTGGGCCAAAAGTTTTTATGTTAAGTTTCAGAAAGGAGAGAAAGCTTCAGAAACTTTTAAGTATTGGCTTGGCCAAAAAGTTCATTTGTTTTTTTTCTGTAAGATGGCTCTAGTAGCACTTAGTTGTCTTCAATCTTACTTGAGACAATTTTGTTAGATTGTATTGTAACAGCTAACATATCAGTGTGAATTTTTTTAAAAACTTATCAAAATTGTTGAATTGTTGTGTGGCCATTTTAATACTGAAGATGGAAGAAAATATGCAACATTTTTGGCATATTATGCTTTATTATTTCAAGAAAGGTAAAAGTGCAACAGAAACACACAGAAAGATTTGTGCAGTGTACAGAGAAGGTGCTGTGACTGATTGAACTAGTCAAAAGTGGTTTGTGAAATTTTGTGCTGGACATTTCTCACCGGAGGATGCTCCACAGTTAGGTAGACCAGTTGAAGTTGGTAGATCAAATCGAGACATTAATTGAGAGCAATCACCGCTATACCAGGGGGAGATAGCTGACATACTTAAAATATCCAAATCAATAAAGTTATTAGTGAAATGAAAAATGTGTCTTTTATTTTATGGAAAAAACTAAACAGATGTTTTTGGCCAACCCAATAAAATAGGCAAAAACAGCATTGTGCTTCTTTTGCAGCATTGTGCTAGTTAACATTGTACTGAAAAGGGGTCTCTTCTTTCTCTCTTTTAGATAACCATGAAACAGCCTCCTGGAAGTTAATTCCAAGTTCAAACACACACTCAGAAATGTGAGCAGTCTTTTGTCAGCTGGCTCCAAGCTATTAACAGGGTAACTACTCTGGCTCTTTCTCTCATTCTCTGGCTGCTATGATGTAATTTAGAACATCCAGATTTTTTTCTTGTCTTCAGCATAAAGAATCTTGTTAAACTAACTGAAGTCACATGCCCACAAAGAACCATCACTGTGGCCAGGCCAGTCAGATGTGCTGATAACTCCACTCTGGACCCATGAACCATACTCCCCGGAACCACCTAGAGGCCCAGTGGAAATTGGCAGCTGTTAGAAAGAGGGAAATAGAAGTCACGTTCACTGAAGGACATCGTCAAACAATATGTAGACTTCTGGTTTCCACTGTGACTATAAAGAGCTTGGAAGTTCTTAGTCTCATCCTTACAATAAGAAAAAAGATGAACAATCCAAAGAAACCCAACAATTCTTCTTAGATCTATCAGATAACTGAAGTCACATGGATATGAAATTAACCTTTGCTGTTGCAAACCACTTTATTGCAGTGATTTTAGGGGCTTGTTTGTTAGCACAATATAGCCTAGCCTATCTTGCCTGACACAGATGGAAAAACCCGTTTCCACTCAAAGTGAGACACAAAATCAGTAAAGTATTAAAAGAAAAGACAGATTTGACAACACAAAAATGTAACACATCTGTGGCAAAACACACATCAAATTGAGACAAATGGCAAGTCAGACTAAATATTTGCAAGCTGCATGACAAAAAGTTGCTATCCATAACAATTAAGGTTTCATAACAAACAACCCACCCAATGGAAAAGAGGGCGAAACTCTCAAAATGCAGTTCCAAAGAGAGGAAATTGGCCAAAAAATATGTGAAAAGAGATTCAGCTGCTGTTTTAACTAGAATTAAAAATTCAAATGAAAATATTGCTATTTCTCAAACTTTATATTGTAAAAATTAAGGACATTGATATATAACAAGTCTTGATGGCAGGGACAAGGGCACACAAGCACTGTCATAACCAAGCAGATGTACAAATAACTGCATAAGTTTTGGAAACTAAGAGGACAACATATGTGTGTGTATGTGTGTATCTCAAAATTTATATTTGCATTTTTTTAAGTTTCATAAAGTTATTCATAGATATTAATTCTAGGTAAATAATTACAGAATTTGGAAAGATACCTTTGTAAAGATATCCATCACAGCACTGTTTGCTATTGCAAAACAGTTGGAAACAGCCAAAATTATATCAAGAGTAGTTTGATTAAGTGAATTATGGTATTTGTGTACAATGTTGTAGTGTGCAACCATTGAAATAAGAAAGGATGATTTTAGTCTTTGTCATGTAAAATATTATATTGCATAATGTATAGGAAAAATAAAAAGCAGATCACCGAACAGTAATTGTTCTGAGGATGTGAAATATGCATGCCATGTATGTGTAAAATCTTAGGAGGAATAAACATAAAAATCTTCAGAGGAGTTAACTCTAAATCATCTTTTTGGTCATTTTGGTATGGTGACACTTGGATCCCGATATCAAAGGACACGTGTATGTTTACTTTCTACTTAACCAACTAATATAGTCTGAATGTTTCTGCTATCAGATATAACATTTCTAAATAATTTTTAACTAAAGACATTTACATTTGGGGACACAAAGAGAGAAATCCCACATGAAACACAGCTTTCTCATTTGTTAAGGAACTCCTTTGGTCTTGGAAGAGAGAGAGAACAGGAAAAACAATTCCCAAGGAAAACACCCTTAAGAGTTTGGGATGAACGTTCGGGAGGAAGCATGCCAAGGCCAGGGTAACAGATTTCCCTTCAAGGGTAATAGATAAGATGCGCTAGGGCAGTGCTAAATGTTCAGAGGCTAGATAGAATGGTGCAACTCATGGGGGTCATGCTCTCAAAATATTTTCTGGGGTCAGCCCTAGGAAAGAGTTCATCCAGACTATTCTAATCAAAGGTAATTAAGTGTGAAGAGCTGTGAAGAGATGCTCTTGTTCCGTGTCCTTATGGAATAGGTAGAAACAAGCCCAACCACAGAAAGGAAGTTTCTAAGGTCATAGAGCACTGGGTACAGCCCGCATGCCTGGTTTTCCTTCACAGGAATTTTGTCCTTTGAGAGAAGCTCATTCCCTTTAACCCCAAAGAGTCTGGAGAACTGAGAGTACCAGGAAAGAGACATAATTCACTGCTGTACACTGTATCCGCCAGCACTGCCCAGATGACAGCAAGGATGGTGGTCCAATGGGGTTGTGGGGGACAAACCCTCAGCACACACATCTTCCCTCCCTCTCCCCCACCTGTCAGTCCTACCCCATCGTCTATGATGGTCTGCTAGCAAGAGGAAGCATAGGAGGCGTTCCCAGAGGACTTTGCCTCATTATACCTTTGGCAAAACTTAAACACTTTTTTTTCCTGCTGGGAAGGATGAGGCCTAACAAGAACATCAAAGTGGAGATTTCTTACATGTCTACAGCTAATGGGAAGTGAGTCCACAGCATGAATTTTGTTCTCGTCTCCCATCCCTGCTCATCCTGCATTTCCTCCACACACGTCTTTGACCTCATCAACATTCCTTAGTCGTTTTGTTGGGTACCCCTAATTCTCTGATACTTTCTCATCTCCCATTTTCTCATGTCCTTTCCCTAATTTCTATCCTTCTTTCTCACCCTTTTTGCTCACCGTCCTGCCCCATCATTTCCTACATCTTCACATCTCATCTTTGTTGCTCCATTCCCAATCCTGTCCTACTGCCTGCTCTCACGTCCTTTCCCCCCATCCTCATTTCCGCTCATCCTGACACTTCCTTGGCTCCAAGAAGAGATCACAGATAAGCCAAGCTCCAGGTGTAGCCATGGGACAGTTTTAGGAGTGATGCAGCAGAGGGACCTAAAGGCAGAACTGCCAGGGCAGGGTAGCAGCCTTCCATTGGAGGCTGGAGAAATGACACAAATCAGGATGGATGAGCAAAGACTAGAGGAACATCAAGAAGAGGAAATCCCCTGGGTGGGAGCTGTACTGGTGTTTAATAAATTAAATTCAGAAGGAGGCATTATTCCCAAGGACTGCATTTGTGGATACTTTCTGAAGTAGGAGGTTTGGGAGAGAAATGTAGAATTTTGGAGGAGAAGGTTATTGGACATCCTACAGTGAAAATTCTAAGGACCTGGTTTGAGTATAAATGCTTACTCTCTCAAAGGCTTTATTGTGTATGCGAGAACAGTGACTCACTCAATGAGAGAGAAAGATATGGCAGAGGATGGAGATGAAACGTGTCTTTTTTGTCCTTCAGAGATATCATGTATGCATTGATGTAGCTCTTACTTAATGGGCTATTTCCCTCTTTAGACCGTACCTGTCCCCTGAACATCCTATGGGATTTCTGTTAGTAAAGAGGAGGAAACAATTTCCTTGGAGGTGAAAGGTGAAAAATAGAATAGAATAATCCTTGGCACTAGTTTAAAACAGCTTTCTGCTCCCCAATCTAGAAGGAATCTCCCATTTCCCACGAGAACAAAATTTCACAGTGACATTCTTGGTTCATTAGGCTGTGATCAAGCAAATTGCCTTCCTTGTAAGATATGCTGGCCAGAGCTACCTGGTTCCAAGGCTTCAACGCTACCTGAAAAGTGAGCATAGCCAAAAACGAGGTGGCAGCTTGCCATGGGGACTTGCTGGGCAGATCCTAACCTCACATCCCCTTCTTACTTGTTTGTCTTTATAGCACGTATCACTATGTGATGTATCACATATGATGCATGTTTATTTCATTATTTTGTCACCCCTCATTAGAATGTGAGTTGTATGAGTGCAGAGACTTTTGTTTATTTTGTTCACCAGTGCCCCAGAAGAGTGTTTGGATCATAGAGGCAATTCAATAAACATTTGTTATATGAGTAAATGAATAAATTACGTAGGGTTTCTTTGCAGGACAAATATATTACACAACATTTTCCAACATCAGGATCGATAAATGAATGGTTCATGATCACTTCTCCAGGTTACTACTTTCATGGGAACTTTTCCTCAGCTCAGAAAAAGCAGGAAAGGAAAACACTATCAGCCTATCACTACTCAAGTCAGTAACCGCTTCCCCACAAGTACCCGCCACAGAGCACCCTGCACATCAGGGTTTCTAAGGCTGTAGACAAGAGGATTCAACATGGGGTTGATAACTGTGTTGAAAACCCCAACACCTTTATCCTTGTCTGAAGACTCCTCCGAACCCAGACGCATGTAGTTGAAGATACCAGTTCCATAGAAGAGGCAAACCACAGTGAGATGGGCGCCACACGTGGAAAAAGCTTTCTTCCTGCCCTCCGCAGAACGGATTCGTAGTACTGCCACGGCCACATGGATGTAGGAGGTGATAATGAGAACCATAGGGACACCTGCCATTAGAATACACATAACAAAGAGCAGCAGCTCATTGAGCTGGATGCTGGAGCAGGAAAGCTGGAAGAGCTGTGGGAGGTCGCAGTAGAAGTGGTTGATCACATTGGGCCCACAGAACTTAAGAGTAGATAGGGCAATAGTGTGGGTCAGTGCATTGCTGATGCCACAGACCCAGGACACAACCACCAGTGTGGACTGGACCATCTGGCTCATGCGGGTGCTGTAGGTGAGGGGCCGGCAGATGGCCAGGAATCGGTCATATGCCATGGCTGTCAACAGGAAGCAGTCCATCCCAGCCAGAAGGTGGAAGAAGAACAGTTGGGAGAGGCAGGCATGATAGGATATTACACGCTTGTGGGACACGAGACGACCCAACATGGCAGGGACAGTGACAGTGATGCACCCAACGTCCAACACTGACAGGTTCCCCAGGAAGAAGTACATGGGGGTGTGCAGTTTGGGCTCCACCAAGATGGCAGCCAGGATGCTTAGGTTGCCCCCAACTGAGACCAGATAGGCAAAGAGGAAGACCACAAAGACAAGGGGCCACAGCTCTGGCGTATCCACCAAGCCCAGCAGGATGAACTCAGTCACAGCAGTCCCATTGGCCTCAGATTCTGGCTCCATAAGTACCTGTAAGGAACTGCCCCCATGTGGAAGCATCAGGCATCTCAGTGTGTTTATGCAACGTAAGCGTTTTAAAACTCCTGTGTTCAAAGCTCCCTGATATGTTCCCAGCTCTCTGGGCAATCATTTTCACACAACCCAGGCCACACTGACCTCCCACCACCCCAAAACCTCCCCACTCTCACTGAGATGCCCCAGCCCACCATCACCTTGTCCCGCCCATGCTCTCCTATTGTTAGGGTTGGAACACGTGGGAAAATAAATTAAGACATAAGCAGACTTCCTCTTTCAATGCTGTAAGTTTAAGATGGGATTTCCCCATTTTACTCAGAGGGCTGAGCTCAAAGCAATGAACAGGTTTTAAAATAAAAAACGATATTTCCCAAAAAAGTAGAAAGTATTTTAAAACAGACCCTAGGATTCAGGGCCCTTAGAAATAGTGAAGATGAAGCAAAGATATGGCAAGAATCAGGGAGAAGATCCCCGTGACTGTGGACATCGGACAGTCTAGCCAAGTTCATTTCTCCAAGGTGATGGCCATGTTCTGAAGTACAAATTCAAAGCCCCTTGGTCCATAAATTGCCAGTGTTCCTACCGCTAATTAAGCCTTTACACTAGACTTTGAATAACAGCTTAATAAAGTGATTTGTTCTTTTCATAGTACCTGCTACCTGCCTCACAGAGGGCAGCTGTAACACAGCTGTGTATGGGTCGGGTGCTGCTAGGGGCAGTTACTTTTCTGCACTGCAAAGCCACTGGCCTTCCACTCGTCCTCGACTCTGGCACGTTAAGTAGATTGACCGATAACTCTAAGGAGGGGCTCTCAAATGAAGCAAGCACATCCAGAGAGAGCCAGACTGAGCTAAGATTTTCAGATCTTAAAATAAAGTCCTGGTCAAAATGTATTACTGTGTCTTTATTGCCCAGGGAATGAGCAGGGCTGCAGCGTCACTAGGAGTAATGCTGTTTCCTTGCATAGATTACCATGGACTCAGAAGGGGGGAAGCAGCTGGATGGGATCCAGTGATTCCAGCAAGGGGAACAGGTAGGGTGCTGTGAGCTCATGTGGACAAGAAAGTGGGCGCAGTCGTCCCTAAAAGAGTCCTAACATTCAAAGGGCAGGTGATTGGTGAGATGGTGAGGGGGTCCTCCTCAGGTGTGGTCATCACTGAAAAAAGTGAAGATTCAGAAAGGTGTTGCCAATCGACAAATCCGTGGATAGACAACTGCTCTTTACATAATTACCATATTAAAGGGCAATTAAGTACTTTCTGTCCTCCCTTTTGGGTCCCTTTTAACACAGGATGTAGAAGGTGACTCCATGATATTTTACCCCTTTACATTGCTGTCCAGATCCCTGCACCTGCTTCCCTCCATCTCCATGTGGCCAAATGACTCAAACCCTGGCTGCTGAATCAAGTCTCTGTGGGAGCACTTCCATCTCAAAAGACATCTCTCTCTCTCTCTATTCCACCTCATCTACAACTACACAGTATTCCAGGGAACTTCTTACTGTCTACCTTCTAAATAACTCACTACTCTAAAAAGTATATCTCCCCTACTGCTCTCTCAGACTGATTCAGTTTTCAGAAAGCAGTACTTACCATAATGCTTCACACATAGTAGGTACTCAATATTTCTCAAACAAATAAATGATGGTTTATGAGTCCATACAATGTCAGAGAAACAGCTCTAGCATGAGATGGAGTAGTCGTGGAAGACTTTGTGAACACACAGAATTAGGGCGAGACTTTGATGAACCAGTATGGCTTAGAGGAGCGATAAGGGCAAGTGCAGGGCGCAAGGTGCTGCGGGGACCGCTCCTTGCCTTGGTTTTGATGGAACTGGCGCGTCATGTAACAATCTGCGCACAGGCATATTTCTTTCCATATTAAGCACCCAAAAGCATAAGGTCCTTAGGAGGGTTATACCTTCCAGACAGGTGAGTTATAGCTGGGGATAGAAGAGCAACCAACAGCAGCTGCCTGTCCTCGGATGGCCAGAGGTGGAGCTTGCATGAAATCAGTGGGAACTGGGATGACCTTCGATGGTCCAGAGACATGAAGAGTTTTGACAGGGCTCCCATCCTCAGCAGCCCTTTCACATCACCATTCTCGGGGCTGTGTCAGCAGCCCAGGTTCCCCTCACGGAGGTAGGACAGCCCCCTCCTCTGGAACTGCACCCCCCTCCTCCCTGCTCCCGGTGACGAGCAGGCTCAGCAAGGCCTGCGACTGCAGTGGAGGCTGGAGCCTGCCTGAGGAAGTTGGTGCTGGGAGGCGGCCGTGAACGGGACTCATAAGTCCCTTCGCACTCTCTCCTAAGAGCTCCAGAGGGCAGGGGGCTTCATCTGGGAGAGGGGGCATGGGCACAGGGGCCCAGAGGGACCCGGCGTCTGTGTTATCCTGCCGGGTGTTTCCCCCAAAATGGAGCCCCAGCTGCACCTGTGGAAAGGAGGGTGTGAGCTGACGGCAGCAGGGCAGTGGCCGGGCCCCTGAGAAGACTCACCCCGGCCTGGGCGCAAGGGCGGAGAAGCCAGGGAGTTCTCCTCCGGAAGATGAGGAGCTATGCGGACTCAGTTATCTACTCACAACATAAGCAACTACACAGAAGAAAAGGAGGAAAAACAACGTGATATCCTCTCTGTCCTCGGGCCCCAGTCACTAGGTGTTATCTCCTCGGGGGGCCTCAGAGATTGGCCCTCAGAGAAGGAAGAGCCAGGTGGGAGTCATCCAAGATATTCTGGAATCAACTCCAGGCCTTCCGGAATGGAGCAACAATGTCTTACAACTGCTGGTATCTGCACTTTCTTTAAAAAGGCCTTATCTCACCCCTTGGCTTTATCCATGAGCTTGCCGATGATGTAAGTTTCCTTTAATCAGGGGTTGCTACGGCCTAAAGGACTTGTCCACATCCCCCAAGTCACCCAGGAAGCCTGAGGGATAGTTGAGACTACAGACAGGTTCCTAAGGGATGGGTTCCCTTTGGCAGAGGCCAGCCCCAAGCAGGGCCTTGGCGCAGACAGGAGCTAATTCCCAGTCTTGTCTCAGACCTGGCGATGAGGAGGGGCCCAGAAGGAGGCAGGAGGGAGAAGCTTTCCTCACGCCCAGGTTCCTGTGAGTTTCCAGGATGTGGTGCTTCCCCCTCAGGGCCTTGTTAGTGGGGCACCGGGGACTGCATCTTCGGGGCCCTGAGGATGGTGCTGGAGGGGCTGGTAAGGAGCTTCATGGAGGCAGAAGGCCGTCGGGGGAGCTGCCTCCCAATGATTGTCTAGGCTCGGCCCGTGGAAATGGAAAGGTGTCGTGAAGGCCTCAGACTCACAAACAGAAGCCATGGGAAGCTGGGGGACTGTGTTCCTCCAAGTCCTGTGCCCACCGTTAATTCCACAACACCTTCTGGGCCTCAGTTTCCTCACCTGTGAAATGAGTATCTTCTCCCCCACAACAGTCCTGTGAATGTAAATATTGAACTAAGGTTCATTAAGGTGCTAATAGAGGTTCAACAAGACATTACCATGCCAAAAGGTAACACTTATGAGTGCTTGTTACAGGCTCAGAATGTGCTAAGACTTCACAAGCCTGAAGTCCCCATAGAGCCCACAAGAATATTGTGATGTGGGTATGGCAACAAGTTACCAGGAAGAACTTAGTCAGGGGCTTCCCCTCCTTCTGCCTGCCTTGCTCTCAAGAGAAGAATTCATGCTGGAGACAACACACCAGCGGAAATGAGACATTCAGTTCATTTATGAAGTACACTTGAGCACGAAGCTGGGGCGAGCGCCCAGCTAGAGAAGTGCCCAAATATTGGGACTTGAGGGGTTTATGCAGCTGGACAGTGTCATGATTCCTCCTCCTCCTCTACTCTCCAGTCTTGGGATTAATACACAGTTTCAAAGGCCTTCTATCTCAGATACTAGAAAAGACACCTACAGAATTTTAAGAGCTCCTTCCTCCGGCGCTATCATGGGTTTTTTTTTGTGATTTTCAGAATATCTGGCAATCTTATCTGGTCACATCTTTCTCATGCATTCTTCCGATTTCCATCGGGTCCCGCATTGGAGTGTTCCCTGCAGGCATCCGCTCATTGTGAGCTGACAGTGTCACCACTCTCTGGGGATCCTCTGATGCTGTGAACAAATGGGGTTTGGGGGTTCACTAAGTCTGCATACACATGGAGCTCTGAAGGCAGAGGAAAACCTGATAGTAGGAGACAGAAGCCAACATATGAACACCCCACTCCCTCTTCTACCAATATTCTGGGAGGTGCTCTATGTCTCTTCACATTCCAGTCTCTGCTGTCCACAGCGGGCACCTTGGTAATGAGCCTCAGAAGGGATACTTCTTCCTTCTGTGTCTCATTCTCTTCATAGCCTCATCTTGCTCCCGGGCACGACCTTTCAAATAAATAAACAAACTCTTCCTTGCTCCCTGAAATGACTCCTCATTTAAATGACACACGCATCTCGTCTTGGACTGTGCTTTGGTGGGAGGGAACCCAATTCAACAGTTGGTGCTTGGAGAGCCCTAGGAAGCACATCTTCCAGATGAAAATCTGGAACTGGACCCTTCACCACTGCGTGGGGAAAGTGGGGTTGGTGGTAAGCCCTAGTACAGTTAGTGAGACTCGCGTACGGTAGACTGGGATGAGGTACAGGTGGAAGGTGAATCACTGGGCTATGTGTTAACATGAGCACACTTTATTATGGAGCCATGATAACTATAAAAATACTGAAGCTATAAGAATAAAGGGTGGTGTCTTTGAACTTTCTTGGAAGTCTTGAGAAATAGAATGAAGGTCCCAGTTCAGCCAACTATCAATTCAGAAGTATGTTGTGAAAGTCTGGATACTTCTGTGGCAACAGTGAATGAGACATTCATGTTCTACTGCCACGAGGAAGACACTGCTGAACATCAGACTTTGCACCTAAAAGGAAGGTGGCAGAGCTCCACGGGATTATGAAAGTGTAGCTTAGTTATGTCTCCTATGCTAAATTCAGAGCCTTGCTAGGGAAG